AACTACTTATTGTAATTTACCTGTATGACCCAACATCAAAACCTATTTAAAATTAAACTTAAAAATAATCTTTAAAAAAAATGTGTGCACGGACCACACATCTCAAGTGAAACTTCTTTTATTCGCATTTCAGTTTCATCTTTTCCATAGGATTCTTTCATTTACACCACGTCCGAAAGCAAGTTTCACTTCGATCAACTTTTATTTGTTGCTGTACAACATTTGAGTTGGATTTTGAGCTCTTTATTATTTTTAACATTCGTCACCTAATGTAACTTTCTTAAAAAGTACTGACTAAAATTATGTACGTCTGTACAGGTAGTCATTTAATTTAAGAATCTGACAAACACTTTTATTTTCATAATCACATTTCGCCAATGTCTGCTACAAGATCAGTTAAATATGCTATTTAGGAACCGTCAGTAAACTGTCAGCTATTCTAGCGATTTTAGCACGTTTTTATCGAGTAAGTATCGTTGGCGTCGTCGCAGCCTCATATTATATATATTTAACATTATTTTACTTTATTATTTTATTTATTAAGTGATAGAAGACAGATGCAATATGTGTTTTACGCCATATGTGGTACCATGGTACCGTAAAATCTAAGGTAATATTGTAACCCACAACATTATCCACGGAACATTATATTCATAGTACAATACTGTGGTGTAAAATGGCGTTATTTTATTTCTCATTTGTGTGCGTACCTAAGAAAAAAATAATTGAAATCTCTGAAATAAACGCAAATCAGTCAAATACTATAAGAGAGTAGGAATATAACTACGATGTATGTAATGGCAAATACTCCAAGATCTTGAAATGCATCACACCTGTAATATAATCTAAACTCATATTATAAAAAGAGAAACTAACTTCTTAGTAATAGGCATGATGACGGGGTAAACGAAATTCAATTTGGTCCGTCAGTTAGATGATCAAAAAATAATGGACACATATTTTTTCTTTGGGCAATCAACCAAAAAATGACAAAGATAAAGCGCGTCAATGTTTGGGAGTAGGGGCTCGTGACGTCACTTTTATGTGAAAATAGTACCAAAACCTGACGTCATGTGACTTTTCAAATCAATATATCTCTGCAATGTTTATATTATGTGAAAAAAGAAAAAATACGTGTACAATACTTTTTGATAATCTACCTGATAAACGAAGAAAAAAAAAATAGTCATCATCCCTATTGGGGTGTGCCGGATCCATCGTGTGGAAGAGAAAGAAACTCTGAGCAGTTCCCGGGACTTGCGACCCAAATGTAGGTTTAAGGAGGCCCCCTTTGAGATGCGCATCAAAGTTCACCTTCATTGCTCGAGTTACCCGCTCTTTCTAGCCAAATTTGATGGGATCCTGTTAGTGAAGTCTTTTCGTTCCAAAATTTAACTTACTGAATTCGCGACAGGTCTTTTATAAGGTTACTAACTGACCCAGCGAACTTCGTACCGCCATAAAAATTGGGGTTGGTGGTAGAAGGGTGAAAATTTAGGGTTGTATGTATTTTTGTATGATGTATCATAAAAAAATTAAAAAAAAATATCTAAAATTGAAAAAAAATAGGTGTGGATTACCCTTAATATTTAGGGGGATGAAAAATAGATGTTGTCCGATTCCCAGACCTACCCAATATGCACACAAAATTTCATGAGAATCGGGAAAGCCGTTTCGGAGGAGTTTAACCACAAACACCGCGACACGAGAATTTTATATATTAGATAGAGAGATTTTGCTAGTATACGCTCCTACTCCTTTAAATAAACTACATAGCCATTTTTAGTTAGGTCGTTGGTGAGATCGTAATATTTATTCAATTTTATTTTGTGGTATTTTGGAGTTGGTGAGTGTGTGACGTAATGAGTTTATGAGGTTGTAGGGGGTGATCCCTATCTACTGAACTGACTTTGATTTTTTTTTACTATAAACTAACCCGAAAAATAAAAAGACTCTTTGTCGGACTCGGAGTCGGAAACATATTACATTTTAAAACAAATTTTAATTGATTTTTGTTTATAAATTTTTGTCCTAACTTAACAATTGTACTAATATTATAAATGTGAAATTTTGTATACTTGTTACTCAATCACCCAAAAACTATTTAACGGATTTGGATGAAATTTGGTACGCATATAATTTATGACCTGGATTGAGACATAGGATACTTTTTATCCCGGAAAAATGTTAGTTTCCTGTGGGATTCTCAAATAACTAAAGTTATCACGGACGAAGTCGCGGGCGGCCGCTAGTAAATAAATAAAAGACCTATAAGTATACTATCAGTTGCCTACCCGACACATAAGTATCGAACCTTGGTCGAAAAATACACCATTCAAACCTCAATCATTCCATTAAGCTCATTTACGTTTGATTGCCGGTGCGACCGACCACAATTCTCGCTATTCTTGTATTTTCGTTCAATTAGGTAGACACTTAATAGGTATAGATTGTCAGAGGGTAGACCGATATGTCTGGCAGTATACCCGCAATTAGTACTTCAGTTACTCCGTGATCATGGCGCTTGCAACAGTGCCGAAATATCGGAAACTCGCTAAAAACAAGGTACATGGTAACAATCCCGTATAACTTATATTACTATAACTTCTAAGACCCGAGTACGTAAGTAAGTACCGAAGGGACGAACGTCAAATGTTTGACAGGAAAGTAGGTAGAACAGTTTATATGGGAAAATTAAGTTATAGTACAGTCAATCTGTAGGTTAAGTGGTGAAAAAAAAACCTAAAGGGTAAGTCTTGTTTTTTCTGTTGCCAAATGACTTCAGTAAGCCACCTTGGCGATAGGCATGTTCAACTCGTAGGCGTTTTTTGAAAAACTCAAAAAAACCGTCAAAAATTTTTTGAAACGCATTTTTCTTGTTTTATATGCATTTTAGAAACTTTTTTTTGGACTATAATTGTAGAGGGCGTTGAGTACTACAAATTATGTTATTGTTGCAATCTTGTACAACAAAAAATGCACATTGTAGGTGGCGCTAAAGTCTCAAAAAAAGTGTTTTTTCACTTTTTCACCCTGAATATATCAATTTAATGGAAAACTTTAAATAAAAAAGTTGTTCCGTACATAATTACCAACAACTTTTGTATAAACAATTTTTTTGTATTACTTACCGTTTTCAAGTTATAAATTGCGCAGGTATGAAAAATCCAATAGAGCGGTTTTGGACAGTTCAAGTACACATTTGCAGTGCACATTTCAATGTACGTTTTTACTATTTTTTTTCAATCATGAAAAAAAAATTAAAAAAAACTATTTTTTTTTATTTTTTTTTTCATGTTTTTCTATTTTTTTTTGTTTTTCAATCATGAAAAAATGTAATTATGTACGAAACAACTTTGCGATTTAAAGTTTTCCATTAAAATGATATTTTCAGGGTGAAAAAGTGAAAAAACACTTTATTTGGGACTTTAGCGCCACCTACAATGCGCATTTTTTGTTGTACGAGATTGCAACAATGATATAAATTGTAGTACTCAACGCCCTCTACAATTATGGTCGAAAAAAAAGTTTCTAAAATGCATACAAAACAAGAAAAATGCGTTTCAAAAATTTTTTGAAGGTTTTTTGAGTTTTTCAAAAAACGCCTACGAGTTGACATGCCCATCGCCAAGGTGGCTTACTGACGTCATTTGGCAACAGAAAAAACAAGACTTACCTTTAGGTTTTTTTTTCACTGAAACAATTTTTTTTCGACAGATTGACTGTACTATTATTGTTTTTATCTATCTTCCACGTAATTTTTCCATTTTTCTCACCGTTTTAACTTTCCTGGATTACGTCAAACATTTCAAAACTAAAATCAGCTGAATCAGCTCAGCCGTTCTCGAGTTTACGAGAGCGTGACAAACGAACAATTATTGATTTTATATATATAAATAGATTACATTACAAAACTAATCACACTAATGTGAGAATGTGATGTGAGTGTGTATGTTTGTTACTTCTTCACGTCTAAACGGCTGGAGCAATTGTATGGAATTAGGTGACACCCTGGATTAACACATAGGCTACGTTTTACTGCGGGAAAATATCCCTTACAAATCGCGGGCAACACCGCGGGGCACAGCTAGTAGTAAAGATTTAAAAAAAGTAAATTTTCGCACTTTAGACTTTGATACCTTAAACCTTAATTTATAACGTATAGGTCCCACTTCTATTAATTGGCAAGTGTACAAAGTACAAAGGTATAAATTAATTGTGAAAATTCTTTTTCCTAATTTGAAAATTAACTAGTTTTGTAATGTAGTTAGTTCAAGGGCACCGTCTAATTTAATATCCAATGACAGATCGATTTCAAAACATAATGTTTATTTTTCCAATTAAAAAAGTAAGTATTGATTTAAAGTCGAATTAGTGATTTATTAATGTTTTGGTAAAAGCAAACTGAAATTTTTGTTCCTCGAAATCCAATCGATATCTCTTTAATGAATTAAAGCTAAAACTCAACTTGCAGGATGATAAATTTAAAGATTCAAAGTAATTAGAGACTTTTAATTTAAAATAAAACGTACATTGAGGTTTTCAGATCGGAATTTCTGATCAAGACACCGTACTTAAGCGCCCAGCGTACCAAACTAGGTAGAGCCTTTTCTATGGAAACGAAATAATGTATAAAATAGGCGTAAACCGAGAATTGAAATATCTTTCAAAATTATATTATATGTTAGTGTGAAAGATAGTTCTATTCTTCCACCTATGCAAGTCTCCCGGTTTTCCCCTCCGAAAGTTTTCGGCTTGACGAATTTGATGTTTTTTTCATTAGTCTTTAAAGTCTTCGATCCTTACTTATTATATTAATAAATACCTATAGCTTGTTATTTAACTTGTAAATATAGATCAGTTCTATTTCCATTAATTTTAAATGAAATCCACGAGTGTGGTAGATAGAAGCTACAATCTCAAATTGAACGTTTTCGTAAGATTCCCCGTATTCTCTTTTCATTAAAATAAAATTATAAAAATCATTTAATAAGTCTTACCTGACAAAGGTATCATGTTATCACCCACGCTGTATCCGTGATATGATTGTGATGGCTCCATCCGCAGTTTTAATACGGAACTTATAGCCTGTAAAAAATATCTAATTAGTAAAGATTAAACAAGTTTTTAAAACTTAATCTTATTTTAAATTATGTTATTCAATTATTAATACACATATTGAATGACAAAATGAATAGAAAAAAATATTTTTGTATAATAAGGGTTCAAAGTTTGTATGGTGAAACAAATAAAATGAATATTTCGACTCAAACCTTTATAAGTGTACTCCGAAAGAGAATATTCCGACACGATTTTCGTGACTTTGTAATTCAAATTAATATTATGTAACAAAGCAATATTGCACGTTTTTTAAGTCTTGATTATATGTGGCCCAATAATATTTAATTATCCAAATTTATATTTAGAAGCTTATTTTTTCTGTTAGGTAATAAAACTTTCAGGTTCGAGAACACTACAAAAAAAAAGAACCTTATTTGGCAACAAGGAAAATAACAACGGGACTAATTCCTATTGACATATAAGGTTCAGGTACGAATGGACATTTCTTGCTTTTTGTAAATAGGCTGCTTCAAATGAATAGTTTTGTATTCAGTGAATTTGGCAGTAGAGCAAGTGTTTTTAGGTTTCGACCACACTTCACGGCAAAATATGCTTTCAGCGGCTAGTGTTTCTGTGAAATAAAATGTCATTATGCTATATATGTATTTATAAATTATATAAATCATTTTCTAGCAGTAAAAAGATAGCCTGTTGTAAGATTTGTAAGGTTTTCACCTGCATTCACTTTTTTTTACGGAGATGCTTATCATAAAAAGGTAATTTATTTCTTCATCAATGACCTCTGATTCATATTTGGTTACAAAATTAAAAAAATCTAGTCTTATCTATATCGGCTACTCATCATAATTCCATACGAAACATACTAACTTACACAAAAAGATTACTGTATAATTCAGTTGCCTTCACAGTGATTGAGCAAATAAGTTGGACATCTGTTACAATGAAACCTATATTTGGCTTACAAAAAAGGGTCCATTTATAAATCATGGGAGAGCCTGAATATGTTTGCTACTTTATGTGATTTACTTTTTGCTGAAGCCATTTTAAGTTGCAGAAGTTCACAATCAGAATAGCAGCACTGTGTAACTTCGTAGTCTTATACATAATGTACTACAAACAGATATCATAATAACGTATCCGATATTATCGATCAATAATAACGCGCCTTTGGGGAGGGGGGAGGGCTTAGTTAAATTAATGATTGTCAAAATGACGCGCTGTCTTGACAACACTGCTATCACATAGCTATCTCAAAGAATGTGACAGCATCGAGTTTAATCAAACTTAAAAAATATATTGAATGAATAATTTATTGTAGGCCATCAAAAATTTCAGCTAGGCCAACTTAAATTTTTGACATTCCTTAAAACAACATTTTGCGGTTTGCAGGGGGCCAATCGCCTAACGGAAATGCTTTGGGAAACGCTAACCCTTACGATTTTATATTGTTATTTCTAGCCGCCTCAGGTTTTCGAATACTTCACGCTCATTTTTTTTAATATTGTTATTACCAATGCAAAAGAAAAAGAAAGAGCGCGAGGCATTTGAATACCTCAGGCGGCTAGAAATAACAAAATAAAATCGTAAGCGTTAGCGTTTTACAAAGCATTTCCGTTAGGCGATTGGCCCCCTGGTTAATAAAACTAAGTAAGTATACAAATTTTTTTCTTTAGTAGGTTTTCATTGTATAACTTGCAAATTTAAAGTTAACAGGCATTCAATAAAATTAGTCTAACTTCTTACCTGCTTAAATCCCCGTCTATACTTTGCATTCATGTAGCAGTAAATAATGGGATTGTAGCAGGAGTGTGACATGGCCAACCAGTGACTCGCGAACCACACGTATGGAACCCCAGGCCACGTCGCCCAGCTCACGTCTTCCCCGTATACAGTCCACAATATCTGTGACAAAGTAAATATCAGTTAACATTATTGGAATATCACATCTATGTTTATCTTAACACAGAGCCAAAGCAATGTCTAATTCTTTTACTTTTCATAATCATTTTCGTATAAGTCAGGAAAAAGTCTTTTCATGTTTTATACGTATCGAGTTGTAATAAAATATTTTCGCTTATACTGTTTGTTATGACATTTGAAAACGTAAATATTGTTACAAATGCTCTCGAAGCGGAACCGCGAAGTCGCGAAGGTGCCAGAGATCGAATTTGCCAGAGCACCACGGGTCGCGTTAGGGGTCGAGTAATGCGGCTCATTCTAAAATGAGCCTTTTGCAGTGCGGCGTAAGGGAGAAAGTGCAACGACATCTGCACTTGTTTACAAGTTATGCGCGTTACCTGCGTAGGTATAAGTAGGTTCTTCGTACTCGCGGGTGCTTGCTAACTCTAAATTTAACAGGTACTGCAACGTCTGTTGCGTTACAGCCTCCTTGTTTGGGGACTCCTCTTTGTTAATGTAATGCCTACGGCTGGCAGTTATATAAAAAAGGTAATGTCATGATTTTTAAAGATTTGAAATTGGGAATCTTCTGTCGTTTGAAAGAAGATTCCAGGAGGTAGAAATCAGGCACCACAACATACGTTATAGACCAGGGTCGATAATTTTAAAAATGGTGAAAAGTGAAAAAAAAAAATATAGTAGGATGAAACCCATTAGAATAGGTAGAGAATATAACAAAAGTTAAAGGAAAAATAAATTACGGGCGATCCGAGGTCGGGAAGGTGGAGGGGGTGAGTGTTTAAGGGTAAAAACCGGTTAATCTCGATTTCCGGGAAAACTGAACGTCCTATGAAAAAAGTTAAATGGCAAAGTTGTAGGTATTATAAAGATCTACAACTTTTGTATCGACACTTTTTTCACATAACCTCAAAATTTATGTGAAAAATTCGAATAACCGAATTTTTAGATTTTTATTTTTATTTTATGCAAAAAAAATATTTTTTTAACGAAATTTAGTGAACACTTACCTTTGTATGTCCCAAACATACAGCATTTTTTTTTTATTTAAAATATTAATTTTTTCAGCTTATTTTGACTTAATATCGAAAAAGCACCCTTATTTTCAATCGAAAATTCTCACGTCAAAATATCTGCTTTTTTAAAAAAGGTGGTGTGTTTTTTGTTTGTTGAAATCTCTACTCTTTGATGGTATAAAAACAATATACACTATTATGGTAAATGTTCTCAGAAAGTGCAAATTAATAATGATAATAACTCGAATCCGAAAATCCTATTTTTAATACCTACTTACAACAACTATTTTTGCATGTTTTATGGATTTGTAATTTTTCTGTTTATCAATATAACATGAAATCTTACGTTTTTCGAGCAATTAAAGTGTAAATTTTAATAAATAGTTCAAAATTATACATAATGATTCAAATAAATTTTTCGGATTGGAGTTTTTTTCATTATTAATTTGCAGTTTCTGAGAACATTTACCATAGTAGTGTATATTTTTTTTATACCATCAGAAAGTAGAAATTTCAACAAACAAAAAACACATCAACTTTTTTAAAAAAGCAGATAATTTGACTTGAGAATTTTCGATTGAAAATTAGGGTGCTTTTTCGATATTAAGTCAAAATAAGGTGAAAAAATGAATATTTTAAATCAAAAAAAATACTGTATGTTTGGGACATACAAAGGTAAGTTTTCACTAAGTTTCGTGAAAGATTTTTTTTTGATTACATAGATTTTGAGGTTATGTGAAAAAAGTGTCGATACAGAAGTTGTACATCTTTTTATTACCTACAACTTTGCCATTTAACTTTTTTTCATAGGACTTGCAGTTTTACCGGAAATCGAGATTAACCGGTTTTTACCCTTAAAAACTCACCCCCTCCCCCTTCCCGACCTTAGATCGCCCGTAATTTATTTTTCCTTTCATTTTTGTTATATTCTCTACCTTTTCCAATGGGTTTCATCCTACTATAATTTTTTTGGTCTCAAGAATTATCGACCCTGGTCTATTATTACATATTAAAATACAATTATTATATTCGCCTTGATTTCTATTAAAATAAAAGATTATTAAGACTTATTAGTTGTTTTCCATCTGATAAAGTTACGCCGCTCCCAGGACCTATCCCTTCAGGCTAGATCGCCGCAGTACTTTCTAGAATACGTCGATCGACGTTTAAAAGCGCGATTGGCGCCGCACAGAGACAGTGGAGTTTCAACAGCGATTTCGGAACGAAACCAAAGGCGATCAAAGTGTAACAAAAGTGTTCAAGGTGTGTAGAGACCTGTATAGTGAAATACAGTGTTTAGTGAGTGTGTTGTGATTAACATTGTGTGTTAATTGTGTGGTGAATAAAGTACTGTCAAACGTGAACTGGCATTTAATTTCGAACCCCATCCCGACACGTAAGAATATTAAAGTTAATTAAAAGTTTTTCGACATTATTTTAATATTGTCTGCCAACCAAAATGAGTCAAATGATTAAATTTTATACATATTGAAACTTTGTAACAAATAATCGACACAAGCCTATAGCGGCTTGCTTGTTGTTAAACTGTGGAGTTTATAATTTAATTGCAGTGCAAGTAAGATTGGCAGATAAGGTAGTTAAGGCATTTTACGCCCCTTTCTAATTTCAACGTTTAAGATGCAACTTGCTCTAGACGTACTGTTACAAATAAAGTAGATACAAATTCTAAAACATTTAATTTAAATCAGCATGCCAGTAGTTGCGACGCAGCTGAGGAATTAAGCATTGAAAATTAATCAATATTGACTTATTTGAGAAAAGTCTGAATACTTATACAGTATCTGGGTACCGAAAGATCTCACCGAAAGAAACTTAATCAACCGTGTACTCATTTGCGATTCTGTTCTGTTTCATTAATGAAACCGAAACTTTTTGAAAAATAGGTAAATTTAAAAAATCAAAAATCCCGACTGCTTGATTATACTTCAAATAAAAACTGAAAAGAAAAAAACAAGTCCAGTAGTCTATAATTCTGTTAATAAGGAACAAAGCTACTTTAACAGCCGGGACACATTAGATATTCAAGAATACATAATATTTTTCTTTAATGGGTCCCGACTGTTAAAGTAGCTTTGTTCCTTATTAACAGAATTATAGACTACTGGACTTGTTTTTTCTTTTATTTGAAGTATAATCAAGCAGTCGGGTTTTTTGATTTTTTAAATTTACCTTTTTTATTTCACACTTTTTAGTTAGTTAGTATTTTAAGACGGTATATCCCGTAGTCTTGTTACTTCAGTAAGGGAATTAATATTGCGGGAATTCTTAATTACCTTGCGGTGGTCTAAAAGATTGATTTATTAAGACATATAGAGACTTTACCAGCGGGGTCAAGGCTACAGATAGGCCTCGATTTTCGCAAAAATGTGTGAAGTTAAATCAAGTCGTTACATAAATATCTAATGTATGTAAATTTAATAGTAATCTAGCACTTATTCAAAAAGTCATCTTTTGTTTATGTTAGTAGTTTAGCAGTAAATATAAAATTCATTTACTTTTATTCGTCGACTATTTAAAATTGGCAGTGGCAGCATTTTCATGTCAACATTCGGCTCTAAGATTGTAATATACACAAATGCAGTGTCATATCCTAGTCTCATAATTTGATATACCTACGTAATTCACAGAAACCCAACATGTAGATGCCAGAAGTTAACTTCAAATGTTGTTAATCACCCTATATACAATACCAATCAATGACGTTTATGTCGCATATTGCAAATAGTGCAATCATGGCAATTATTTCCAAATATTTTTTTTGTATAAAAAATACCGAATAACGTACCGCTGTTAAGCACAAATACTAAGTAACTTTTACAAATATAATCAAATAAACCTATTACATACTTTACTTTTAAATCTTTTTCTTCAATTAAATACTATTATCCTAACTTTCCATACTAATATTATGAAGAGGTGAGATTTGTATGTTTATAACAAATAATCTGTCAAACTACTGAACCGGTTTCAAATATTATTTCATCATAAGGTAGCTACATTATTTATTTTTACAATTTTCTTTATTAAACACATTGTGTCCGAGTGACATACTACATTTTATCCCGATAAAATAAATTCCGGCCGTACAATGCCCAGGTGGATCACTAGTAAGTATAATATAATATTATAGATGCGAAAGTGAGTTTGTTTGTTGCGCTTCCGTGCCCTAATAGCTGAATCGATTATAATGAATTCCCCTATAGAAGTAAGTGTCATCGTTGTAACTTTTTAAATATTTGTCGAGATGACATAGTGTAAAGGGCAAAGTTTATCGCCTTTAAATATCAAAAGCGATAAAAGTATTTATTGGATAAAAAAATATTTGTTAATACAAAATGTACATTTACAATAATATTTTAGTTTTGATTCACTATTTTAGCGGTAATGGTTACACATTAAAAAAATATGTATGGTGTCACGGACTTTTTTTTAGATCTATTTATGAGATACATTTTCACTGTACATTACATTCATGTAACTTTTATTGTTTTTGCATCGCAGGCCAAAATGGCTCGCATATGGGAGATTTTTTTCCGTCTTATGTGACACTTATTGTTTTATTTTGGCCAATTCACTCAATAACCACATGAATTATTATATATATGTTATTATCATATATGAGCTATATTACTATTAAGTTTCATTAAAATCCATTCAGTATTTTTTAGGTGAAAGAGTAACAAAGATCCATACAAACGTAAGATTGAAATTAAAAGCGCAAGTGGTTAATATACAACTTTCAAGCGTTGTAGATCCTAAACAATCGTATAAAATGAAAAATGGTGTTTGGAACCTAAACCTGATTTTTGATTATCTAGACAGTGATACCCCACTCGCCATATTTTGTCAACTTATTTTTTTTACTTCGTTACAATATGGCGCCTAATTTTGCCCATATTGAATTTTGATTACTATCATATCTTTTGTAGCACTCCCATGATTGAGACG